GCAGGCCGCACCTGGTCGGCGAAGTCCTCGGCCGTGCCCATCAGGTCGTTCTGGCCCATGGTGGCGGCGGGGACTTGGGGGCTAGCTGGCTGGCTGGCTCGCTCGGCGCTCGGCCTGCTCGGCGCCCGCGCCCGTGCGGCCTCCACAGGAAGTGCCCAGCCGGCCTCGCTGCTCGTCCTCGGCGGCGGCTCCAGCGGCTGCCACGTAGGCCAAGCCTTAAAGGGGCCGCGCGCCGCCGTCGGCCCGCCCCGCCCCCCGCCCTTAAAGGGGCCGCGTACTGCCTCCGCCTCCAGGCCCTTAAAGGGGCAGTGCGCCGACGCCAACCAGCCCCGCTCCCCGACGACCTCATCCCTTAAAGGCGCCACGCACAACCACTGCCACCGCCTCCCCACCCTTAAAGGGGCCGCACCCCTTCCAAGCCGTCTCCGCTTCACGCTCCCGACCCTGTGGCAGCCAGAGACCTCCAGACAAGGCGATTGAGGCGCGGCCCTAACTGCCCGGACGCAAGACCCTGAGGACCCCAGATAGACAGTTAGGGCAGGGAGGGTCCCTGAGGATACACACCCCCTGCCTCAGTTGAGGGTCGCGGAGTTCCACAGGTCCCCCGGGCAGTTTTGGGGGAGGGGGGGGAGAAACACCTCGGGGCTACTGCGCATGCTCACTCGAAGGTCGACCGCTTGCGCCGGCTCTCGAACCTGAGCGCTGCTTGATGGAAAGTGAGTGAGGACAGTTTCCTCTGGAGATACTATGGAAAAGTACCAGGTGCCGAGCTGTCCCCGTGTGGGAGACAAGGGTGACATGAGGCGACGGACTGGGGCGGGACCAGGACCTCTTGCCAACCCCCAACCCCTTGTGGTAACGGTCACAACCCTGGAGGGGCGGCAAAGTCCTGGTCAGCACTGCCGCCCCCGCTCACAGGATGATCTCGGGGATCTCCCGGTAACTGTGCCTCAGTTCCCACCCCAACCCCGAACAACCATAGGATGGATGGATGAAATGAACTCTAAAAGACCTTCTAGCTTTAACGATCTGAATATTTTAGGGAGGAGGATAGCACCCCCTATTCTTATCCAAGTGTCCATAAAGTGCTGGGACCACAGGGACAAGGAGACCTTAGACACAGCGAGCTCATAATCAGGGGACTCCCCAAGACACCCCATCCAGCCTGGCAGTTCAGATCCTGGAAAATTCACCTACTGTCGGTCTCCAAAACCAGAACTCTGCAAACTTACGAGGAGGCTGCTATTGTGATGTGTCCTTGTCCTTGGGTCGGTTCTAACTCATGGAGTGCTGTTGAGTCTGTTCTGACCCATAGTGACCCTGTATCGAGCTTGAACCGACTTTGCAGCCCAGCGCATTAACCCATAGGGCCACACCACGCACGACTCCTAGGGACGCTGCATACGTAGAGTTTCCAAGGAAGTGGCTGGAGGGTTTGAACCGGCGAGCTTTTGTTTAGCAGTCGAGTGTCTCAGGCTGTGGAGAAGGAGCCTAGGGGAGTCAGTCGCAGCAGCTACACACTTTAGGAAAACACATGGACTTGATCTGAGAAGTGGGTTTATTTCACTCTGTGATTCACCGTGGGACCTAAGTCGGCCCTGGGCAGACTTCCTCTCTGCCTTCTCCCCTGAGTGATAATCGGGCTACCCACAGGGCTGGGTTACAGAACCCTAAGACCCCCCGCCCCGAGAAGAGCTAGACTCAGGTTTCCTCACCCACACCTGCTGCCTGCATTCTCATCCCATCTTCTGACAAACAGCCGATTCTCCCATTGATGAGTCACGGTTACCCCCACCCACGGTCCACTCCCCAGCATGGTGGACTCCCAACACAGCCTCCAAAGTTGCAATCCAACCCAAGCCATCTTACTCTGTAGCCACAGGTAAGGGCCTAACCTATCCTGTGCCTCAGTTTCCTCCAGTGTCACGTGGCTGCGTGTTGGATGGCTGGGACCAGGAGTGTGCCCATTATAGGTCCAGCTATCTGACTGGCTCCTGGATGTCCAGTTGGTGCTCCTTGAAGGTTGAGGAGGGGCTTGGCTGGGGGGAAGAAAGATTTCCAGAATCACCCAAAGTGATGGAGACAGCCTGGCCTTTGATAATGCTCCGCCTTCCCAGACCGTGTTCCCTTTGTCTGCAAAGTGGAGAGGAGAGACAGGGGACATGACAGGACTCAGAAAAGACGACAGAGAGGGCGTACCTGGGAGGAGAATGAAGCTTTTACTTGTGTTTCCTGAGTGCCTCCCTCCTGGTTTCTGGTAGGTTTTGTACCAGCTGGATCCTGGGGCCTTGGGGCTGAACTTGGTAGTGGAGGAAAAAACCACCAAAGTAAAGCGTGTGATAAAGAAGGTGAGGCTGAGGTGGGGCTCCAACCAACCCAAACTGTGTGCTTGCTAGCCCTGAAAGACAAAGGCTTCCTGATGCTGCCCCTGGACCCTCTTCTCACACACACACACACACACACACACACACATACATATACACACACACATACACACACATACACACATACACACATACACACACACATACACACACATACACACACATACACACACACACACTCATAAGCAATCAAAGGCTCGGACTTCTGGGGTAGAGTGAGGTGCTCATCTTTAAGTCAAACATTGGTAACAACACCTATTGTTAATTCAACACTTGCTTCATGCAGCACCATTTCATTCAACCTCCCATCAACCTGTAGAGTCAGAGCAATGATCCATTGTACTGCCCAGGACAGCGAGGCTCAGGGGAGCTCCACACTGGTCAAAGTTACACAGTTTCTGAGAGCATTTGGACTCAGACGACCTCCCTGAGGAAACCTGTACCACCTAGACCAGAGGGGAACCAGGCCCAGAGAGATCCAAGAACTTGACCCAAATCACACAGGACTTTGGTCCCTGGGCCCTTCCCCAACACACCTCACTGAGACTGAATTGGGGTGCAGAGCTTAGGGGGGACCCTTAGTGTGTCCCAGACAAGTGGTCCAGATAGAGGGTCTAGGGGAAAGGAGCTGCCATAAAGGGTTTGTGGGAGAGGGGGTGAGGTACCAGTCCCTGATGTACCCTCATTCTCTATGACTGTGTAGTGGGCTTGAGGGCTGACTGGGATGGTAGCAGAGCCTCGTTAGCAGCCAGGACAGCTGTGCAACTCTGCAGTCTCATCCCCAAGGTGGCCCAGAGTACTTACCCACCTCCTGCTCCACGGTGATGATAATGATGGGTGATGATGATGGTGATAGGGTGGCTGATAGTAATGGTGATGATAGTGTTATGATGGTGGTGATGGTGGTGGTAGTGATGGTGATGTTGGTAGGATGGCTGATAGTACTTACTGGTGGTGATAGTAGTGGTGATGGTGGCGATGGTGACTCAGTTTACTGAACTAGTGCTCTTGTGCCCTTGCAGGTGGAGTGCATTGATGAGCATCAGGCCAATGAGGCCCTGGATGAGGTAACTCTCGGGGGGTTCCTGTCTAAAGGACATATTGAGACAGTAACCTGTCACTGAGTGCCTAGGTGGTAGAGGGAGGGTCCTTAGGGTTCTTGGCCTGTACTTGTGAAGCCAGCAGCCTTCAGATCACAAAGGAAGTGATGCCTGAATTCAGGTGCTGACAACTTAGCATACTTGGCCCTAGAAAACACAGAGCTTAAATGTTGGCCAGGTCCCCAGGCTCACCTACCACTAACCTCTTAAAAAAAGATGTTTTCATAAATTATAAAAGGATGCTTTGCAGTAGAAAATGTGAGAAATACAGAATTGTTTGGCAAAGACAATGTGCCCTTAATTCTACGGCTCAGAAATGACCGGTGGCGACATCCTAACAGTAATAGTAAGAAGAGCTGCACGTGTTTCACTTGGACAGACCAAAACGGCTCTGAGTTGTTTCTCCTTCTTTGTGGATTCCACTGGGGGGTTAAATGCACCTTTATCCCTAGTGGTCATTGGCTTCTTGTATTCTTTCTGGAATTGCCAGCTAAGGAGTTTTGCCAATGAACACCCATTCAGCCCACAGTGTCACTGAGGCAGCATTCTGACAGAGAGAAGAGGAAGGCTCAGGGAACACCCATAGTCCCCCGCTCATCACGGCATTCACTCTCCTTTGCTGCTTTCCAGAGCCCCCTGGGTAATCTGTGTCCACCCCTAATTTGCCACTGGCTTCTAGTCTCTTGTCTCAAGCAGCGATTCCTGCTGCCTGCTTCCTTTTGTTTTTAAAGGCTTTGGAACGATGGGCACCATGACCTCTACCCGCACCTCCCCCCCAGGCAGCCAGGTGGGCAATGAGGAGGCCAATAGTCCACTTCCCATTGGCCTCCCCACTTCTCTAGCCCACCCTGAGTGCCCTATGGACCTGCCACTTTATCAGCACCAGCTCAGGGGTGGGGCAGACGCCACTGTCACCAGAGGTTGGGCTTCGGCCACACCTGCTAGAGGCAGGACTCACCTACGCTGTCTGGCCCCTCACCACCTGGCTGCACGCTGTCACTGGGGCCCAGACAAGACACAGAGGTTCTAGCTGGGGAATGGTGTTTCTAGAACTTCCCCCCTTACTCTCTCGTCCCTGCAGCTGATGCCACTGTTGGAACTCCAGCACGCCCACATCTCCGTCTACCATGAACTGTTCATCACATGGGACAGCCAGGTGGGTCAGGCCGGCTCCCCCAGGCTCGGCTGTAGAGTGGATGCAGGGCAAGCCAACTGAGCCCAGAGCCCCTCTGCCTGATTGTAACACCGTGTCACCTCAGGGACCAGTCGAAAGGCCAGGAAGCACACAAGGGCTCTCTGTGTTTACTCTCAGCCTCAACAGTGACTGCACCCATTTTACAGAAGGTAAAACAGGCTGAGAGCAAGGAACTTCTCCAGGTTACCCAGCTAGGAAGTGGCGAGGCAGGAAGTGGAGCCAGGTGTGTGCTCAACCACTCCCCGTCAAGTAGCCGTAGGATTAGCGAGCCCCTGCTTCCCACCACAGCTGGCCCCTGGGTCTCCCTGCACTTCTTGACTCCTGATTTTTGCAGATCCCACATGTGTCCACCGTCAGGTGCCAGGAGTACCAAGGGCCAGAGTCACTCCTTGTTTTCCTGGAGGCACCTAGGCTCAGAGAGGTTAAATTGCTCTCCCAGGGTCACACAGCACTAGGGCTGCACGGGAACCACAGACAGGCCAGACCCAGGTGGAAGGAGGAACAGTGGAGTCTGGGGACTAGCGGGGACAGGGGACAGTGCTGGAGTGTGATCCCATCAAAGGTCCACATTCATGTCCCTGCCAGAGACTGGCAGCTGAGGACCTCAGCAGGAGAGGAGGGTCCCACACCAGCCACACACACACCCCTTCCACGCACCCAATTCTGACTCACAGCGACCCTGTAGGACAGAGAAATCCTCATAGAGTTTCCAAGGTTATAAATCTTTACGGAAGTCTGGTGGGTTTGAACTCCTGACCATTGTGCTTAACCACTGTGCCACCATGGTCCCTACCCCTTCCACCAGATCCTAGAAAACCTCCCTGGTGGGGGGCCACCTGTATGCACTGTTTGACCCTAGTATCTTCTCATAGACACGTCACTGGGCAGGGAGCCCTCAGTTGGAGCCTCTCACCTGGTCAGGTGGGCTCCAAGCTGAGCCTGGAAGGATCAGTAGAGTTATGCCTACCAAGAGGGTGAGGGTGGGGCCCCAGTAGAAGGCATCTTCTGGACACGGGACATAGATGGTAGCCCAGCTTTTGGCGGGGAGGGAGCTTAGAACTTGGATGGTGAAGTCTGAACATGGAGAGTGGGAGAGGAGGCCTTGGGCAGGTGATGCTCCAGGCCCTGGGCTCTGTCCACGGCCCCTGCAGCCTCCATGTCCCCTGCAGATCTCCTCACTGTTCCTCTGCATGGTGATGGAGTACAACAAGGGAAGCTTGCAGAATATCATTGAGAAGAACCGGAAGACAAAGACTGTCATCAACTCTGAGGTAAAGCCGCCCTATTGCCCACTTGGACCTTGTGACCTCTGCCCCACTGCTGTGGGTGGGCAAGGACTGCTGGACCTTTCCCCCACATGTATGTACTGAGGATTTACTGTGTTGTGTGGACTTCTAAATTGTGTCAACTTGGCTGGGCCTGGATCCTCAGTGGTTTGACAGTTAAGACAGAGTAACCTACCCGTTCCCCCCATGATGAGATCTAATATAATGTTGTAATCTCCCCCCCGATGGGATCCGATGTGACCAGCTCTGCTCAGATATCATTATCCTGTGGGCTGTGAGTCCTCAGGTCACGATGTTTATGAGATGCAATCCGCAGGGTTAGGTAGTATCATGAGTCAACCACTTATGAAATGTAAGAGATTCAACAGGCAAGCCGAGCTCAGCAGGACTTATCACCACCATCCAAGAAGAGCCGGGAGGGAAATATCTTCATTGGACCTGGGGTCCCTGCCCCGTGAAGCTCCTAGATCTAGAGAAAGACGGATGCCAAGACATGTGGAGATCTCCAAGGAATGCTGGGTCTACGGATGCTGAAAGGACACTAGGACCTTTCTCCAGAGCTGGTGCTCTGAACTTGGACTTCTAGCCTCCCAAACTATGAGAGAATACATTTTTGTTTGTCAAAACCATCCATTTGTGGTATTTCTGTCATAGCAGCACCAGAGAACCAACACACATATGTGCAGCTTGACGCATGCTTGAATCTGCTTACACCCAGTAACGTCATTCAAGTTGAACCATAGGCATTCTGAGCACTTTACAAGGTCCCAGTCAACACTGCATCCCCAGCCCTGAGTAACCATAGTTGTCAGACGTCTGCCTTCCGAGACTATTCTGTCTGCTTTGAACTTGATGCAGATGAAATCCGACTGTATGTGGTCTCTCGTGCCTGCTAGCCTGCGTTCAGCTTAGTGATTGTGAGATGCATCCCTGCTGTTTCTTGTGTATCAGTAAAATGTCTTTTCTGTTGTTGCTAAATACTACTACTCCGTTGTTGTGTGACTAGACAGTCATTTCTTATCTGGTCATATGGATGGATATTTGGGTTGTTCCCAAGTTTGTGTGATTGTGTATGAGGCTGCTGTGAACATATATATTTAGTTGTCTCTTGGTTGGTGTATGTAAGCACTCATTTTTCTTGGATAGACACCTAGAAGTGTAATTGATGGGTGTAAAGTATTACAACGAAATGTGAAAGGACTAGGAGTTAGGAACCCAAAGGGAAAGAACACACTCAACATTTCCCAGTCTGAAAGAACAGAAGGAAAAAATTCAGGCCTCAACTTGCAATGTTGAAGGGCAAAATTTCCAACGACGCAAGAAGCACCAAAAGAAGACACACAGAATCACTTACCAAAAAGAATGGGCCATTCTTCAACTATTTCAGAAAGTAGCATGTGATCCAGAGTCCATGGTATGGAAGGAAGAAGTCCAAGCTACACTGAAGGTACTAGCAGAAAAACAAGGCTCCAGGAATTAACAGAATACCAATTGAAATGCTTCAACAAACTGATGAGACATTGAAAACGCTCACTAGTCTTATGCCAAAAAATTTGGCAGGCAGCTATCTGACTAACCAACTAGAAGAAATCCATATTTGCATCCATTTAATAAAAAGCTGGACAGTGAATAAGGAAGCTCGTAGAAGAATTGATGCCTTTGAGTTGTGGTGTTGGAGGAGAATACTGAAAGTGCCATGGGCTGCCAAAAGAACCACTAGATCTGTTTTGGAAGAAGTGCAGCCAGAGTGCTCCTTGGAGGCCAGGATGGCTAAGCTTCGTCTCTCCTACTTTGGACATATTGTCCGGAGGAAACAATCGTTGGAGAAGGATGTCATGCTGGGTAAGGTGGAGGGTGAGAGAAAAAGAGGAAGACCTCTAACGAGATGGATCGGCCAGGTGGCATCATTGATGTTGTCAAGTGTGGCAGTGGTAGTGAGGTTGGCCCAGGATCGGACATAGTTTCGTTCTGCTGTGCATGGGGTCGCTATGAGTCGGTTCTGACTCGATGGCACCTGACAACAACAACAACAATAAAAAGGTAGCCCAGAAGAATGTGGAAATTATGGAGCAGCATCATGAATACCACAAGCAAGTGAGGTTTTGCTAAAGATAATTCAAAACCAGGTGCAACAGAACATTGACAGGAATCTGTCATAAATACAAGCCGGATTCAGAAGAGGATGTTGTGGAATGAGGGATATCATTGCTGATATCAGATGGATCTTGGCTAAAAGCAGAGAATACTGGGAAAATGTTGAGTTGTGCTTGTTTGACTATGCAAAGGCATTGGACTGTGTGGATCATGACAAATTGTGGATAACACTGTGAAGAATGGGAATTCCAGAACACTTAACTGTGCTCATGAAGAACCTTTACATAAACCAAGAGGCGGTCGTTCGAACTGAACAAGTAAGCCCAGAATTTGTTTAAAATCAGGAAAGGTGTGCTCCAGGGTTGTACTCTTTCACCATACTTATTCTGTAGTGGTTACAGGGTTGCTATGAGTCGGAACCAACTCACGGCTCACCACCACCATTGATATCCTTTTTTTTTTAAAGCTTTTATTGTGAATTGAGTGACAGTGTACATGGCAGAACATCAGTTTTGCGATCAACCAATCGCATCTTGTTCCACTGTAACGACAATCCCCTCCATGGGCCATCAGTTAACAGTGTTTGTCTCTATTTCATCTTGTTTTTTGTTTTTTAGATGTCTACAGAAACACACAGGAATTGTTTAAATAACCAAAGGGCATATTTTGCAAACCAGCCCCCTGTCCATCAGCACTCAGCCTTTCTCATTCCATGAGTGTAGAGTCCTCGGTTGCTCTATCTCTCTATGCCATCATTTCTGCCTCTGTCTTTGGTGTCGCTGCTTCTCTGGTTAGGATACCATGTTCCACTCATGCTCTTCCCTATTGCTGGTCCTAGGGTCCTGTGTTCCAGGAATGTAAGATTAACTACTCCCTGCTTTTTGTCATGCACCTTTTTCTACCTTTACACTTGTGACCATCGCAATTAGTCATGATAACGATTACTATTGAATCAAGAGTCCTATCCACATCTCTTTTCACCAGACCCATCTAGACAAGATGAAAACTATTCAGTGGGGATTTTATCTTCCCCCACTCGTTCTGAAACTAAACTCCCTCTTGAAAACTTGTAAGCCAGTCAATTCGTGCCTTTAGCCCACCTGTTTTAGATAGCCAATGTCTAAGTTGCCCATACCTATCAACCCTGTGTACTGAGAAGTTAGGCTTAAATCCTTGATGTGAAGAGTCCTTCCCTCCCGGTTGGTATTTTGAGCTAGTACATCCATAAGTAAAAATCAAGTTAATCAAATTATAGCAATTGACACTTGTTTCACCAATTAAAAAAAAATGTTCCTCTAGTCGAGTTCTGATCATCAAGCCATCCAAGCTAGGTCATTTGGGTACTATCTGCAAGTCTGGGCGTTCTTGTATGTCTCACCCTACTGCATATCAGCTGGGCGGTTCACTCTCAGCTGTAGCTCCAGTGGCTAGGTCAGTGTTTGTGGGTTCGGGGTTCCCAAGTCTCCCCAAACTTCAGACCAACCAGCCCTTCCTCTTCTCTCTTTCATCTCGAGGTCAACGGAACATGGTCAAGCTCAGCCCACGTCTTCATTACTGCCTTTCCCCGACTTCCACTCACAAATAGACCAACGCTCGTGTGTTCACTTTGAGGTTCAGTCTTGGAGGGTAGTTGTCCTAAAGGGACTTGACTGCTTGCCTTGGTGCACCATTCCTTTTTTAAAATAAAAAACTTTTGATTGTGACTTGAGTGAAGGGTTACAGAGCAGATCATCAGTTCTACATCCAAAACATCACAAACTCCTTTTCATCTTGATTGCGATCCTTCACTCATCCCACTTCCTCCGTAGGTTTCTTGTTTCTATTCTTCCTCCTTTCCCACCCTTCTGAATTTTGTCCTTAGGTAAATGCTGCTAGTTTGATCTTGAGTGATTTGCCATTCTATTGTGTGCATTCCTCACTAGTCTTGTTGTTCCCTCAGTATAGCTTTGCTGAAAATTGAGCTCCAGGAATGAGTTCAGGTTCAGACCGGAAGGGTCTCACGGTTCCATCCATCCTTAACTGAACAGTATGCATGGTCTTTTCTATGATTTTGAGTTCGGTTCCACATTTTCTCCCATTCCATCCAGGGCCTTCTAATATGATCCCTTTCAGAGCAGTGGGTGGTGGTAGTTAGGCACCATCTAGTTCTTCTGGTCTCGGAATTGTGGAGACTGATGCCCATGTGGCCACTGGACTACTTGTTTCCAAACACCTTAATTTTCATCATTCTTCTTTGCTCTGAACAGAGAGGGACCACTAGTTGCACCTTAGGTGACTGCTCATGAGCTTTCTAGGTCTCCGTCACGACTCACCAAAGTAGGATATAGAACATTATCTTTGTGAACTGTGTTGTGTCAGTTGACTGTGGTCCTGAGTCCCCAGGCCCAGCAAATCATTCCCTCAGTCACCATACTTATTCTGTCTGTATGTTGAACAAATAATCTGAGAAGCTAGATTCTATGAAGAAGAACATGGCATCAGGGTTGGAGGAAAGCTCATTAATAACCTGCTATAAGGAACTGATGGAATAAAAATTGAAATCTTTCAAGAAAGTGAG